GAACTTGCTAGTTATGCTCAGTAATTATACTACTCGTGTGATTACCATGACTCGGTCGACAACCACGTCTTGGCTATATTCTTCACTCGTTACTGTAATGAAGCTCATAACGTACTAGTGATAGAGCAATTGCCCATATCTTTGTTAAATTTTGGGTTAGATTATACATCATTGGAAAGAGCAGTAAATTCTCTATAAATCCGTTCAATATTGAGTTCAATAGCTCGAATAGTTTTTGAGTAATTGGGCCTCAAAATTGATTTATAGTCTTAATTTTGCGAAAAACTTCAAACTCAATTTGCTCAAAAACTATAAATCTGGGAACATTGTAAATTACAGGCCATTCATAAAATGATGATAAAATATATAAATGCAGAAAATTTTAATGCAATTTACCCAACGGTTACGGAGTAATTAGGGTTTGGAGATTTTGGAATTAAAATTCAAAGGGGTATCCCCTATAAAAAACTCGATTTTTTCATTTTTCACGTTTGCTCAATTTTGACTTCATTAATCGATAGAGCATATCAAAATTAGTGGAAAGCAACCCTGACATCATTTTGAAATGGCCATTTCAAACAGAAACAAAAATAAAAAGGACATCTTATTTTTGGCTCTGGGAAATTTTCAAAATCTTGACATGGTCATGAGCAATTGCCCATATCTTTGCTCAATTTTGAGCAAATTGAAATAAATTATATATCGTTGGAAAGAGCATCAAATTCTCTATAAATCTGTGTAAAATTGAGTTTTATAGCTCGAATAATTTTTGAATAATTGAGCCTAATAGTTGATTTTTAGTACAAATTTTGCCAAAAACTTCAAACTCAATTTGCTCAAAAACTATAAATCGAGGAATATTGTAAATTACAGGCCATTCAGAGCCTGATAAGAGCTATAAATGCAAAAAAAATTAATGCAATTTACGCAACGGTTACCGAGCAATTGGGGTTTGAAGATTTTGGAATTAAAATTCAAAGGGGTATCCCTTATAAAAAACTCGATTTTTTTATTTTTCACGTTTGCTCAATTTTGACTTTACCAATCGATAGAGCATATTAAAATTAGTGGAAAATAATCTTAACATCATTTTCAACTGACCATTGCAAACAGAAACAAAAATGAAACGGAAATCTTATTTTTGGCTCTGGAAAATTTACAAAATCTTGACATGGTCATGAGCAATTGCCTATATCTTTACTCAACTTTGAGCAAATTGAAATAAATAACATATCATTGGAAAGAGCATTAAATTCTCTGAAAATCTGTGCAAAATTGAGTTTCATAGCTTAAATAGTTTTTGAATAATTGAGCCTCAAAGTTGATTTTTTGTCCAAATTTTGCCAAAAACTTCAAACTCAATTTGCTCAAAAACTATAAATCTAGGAATACTGTAAATCACAGGTCACTCAGTACCTGATAAGAACTATAAATGCAGAGAATTTTAATGCAATTTACTCAATGGTTACCGAGCAATTGAGGTATGAAGATTTTGGAATTAAAATTCAAAAATTCATAAAAAACTCGATTTTTTTTATTTTTCACTTTTTCTCAATTTTGACTTTACCAATCGATAGAGCATATCAAAATTAGTGGAAAACAACCCTGACATCATTTTCAAATGGCCATTTCAAACAGAAACAAAAATAAAAAGGACATCTTATTTTTGGCTCTGGAAAATTTTCAAAATCTTGACATGGTCATGAGCAATTGCCCATATCTTTGCTCAATTTTGAGCAAATTGAAATAAATTATATATCGTTGGAAAGAGCATTAAATTCTCTATAAATATGTGCAAAATTGAGTTTGATAGCTCAAAAGGCTTTGGAGTAATTGAGCCTCAAAGTTGACTTTTAGTCTAAATTTTGTCAAAAACTTCAAACTCAATTTACTCAAAAACTATAAACCTGGGAATATTGTAAATTACAGGTCTTTCAGAGCTCGGTAGCAGCTATAAATGCTGAGAATTTCAATGCAATTTGCTCAACGATTAACGAGCAATTGAGGTTTGAAGATTTTGGAATTAAAATTCAAAGGGGTTAAGGTATCTCTTATAAAAAACTCGATTCTTTTATTTTTTACTTTTGCTCAATTTTGACTGTAGTAATCGATAGAGCATATTAAAATTAGTGGAAAATAATCTTAACATCATTTTCAACTGACCATTGCAAACAGAAACAAAAATGAAACGGAAATCTTATTTTTGGCTCTGGAAAATTTACAAAATCTTGACATGGTCATGAGCAATTGCCTATATCTTTACTCAACTTTGAGCAAATTGAAATAAATAACATATCATTGGAAAGAGCATTAAATTCTCTGAAAATCTGTGCAAAATTGAGTTTCATAGCTTAAATAGTTTTTGAATAATTGAGCCTCAAATTTGATTTTCAATCTAAATTTTGCCAAAAACTTCAAACTCAATTTGCTAAAAAACCATAAGCTTGGGAATATTGTAATTTACAGGTCTTTTAGAGCTTGATAAGAGCTACAAATACTGAAAATTTCAATGCAATTTGCTCATTGGTCAACGAGATTTACAACAATGTGACCAGTGAGAGTTGGGTAGGTAGTTACAAACAGACGAAATAACAGGGACATTTCAGAGTCACAATCTATTTTGGTAAAGCCTGGTGAAATGAAATCACTACAATAACGTAAGGTCCTGACATCTGTGTGACCATTTACCTGCAACGATCTGCTAGAGAATTAGAAAAATGTAACTTTTCATCGATAGTTGAAGGAAGAATCTGGACTGAAACAACAATTATGCCACCTGTTAGGGAGAAGTGCAACTAGATAGTGTCGCCCTCTATTAGAGAGATACATAAATGAACATGAATGTTGTAGCTATAGAATCACTACAGCTTCAGAAACTATAAAGACAAAGGTAAAATGTAAAATGCCCCAAGAAGAAGGACAAAACGGATAGGAGCCTGACAACACAAATCAGATTATGGATTCATTAGGTACAAGATAGAATCACCTACTAACAAATTTAATTAGTCCCGAAATAACAGAAGATAATAGGGCAAAGAAGATAATAGGACAGAAGAGAGCCTTTGGAGATGCAAAAATGTATGGGATGAGCAAAACATTAACCGATGGGGATGGAATGAGCAAAGCATTGGATGTCAAGGAAGATTGAAGAAATATAGCATTTCAATGATTCTGAATGATCGTTTAAGAAAACCTTTATTCATGAAGCAATTGGAAGCAATTGGAAGTAAATGGAGACCAAATTACAAGAAAGAAACCAAACTTAAACTGTTTTTTTTTTTTTTTTTATGGAGAAGAATAAATTATGCAAGAACCAAAAGTTATCATTACAATAAGTTTGAGAGCAAATTCTTAGTAAACTCTATACCTGATAAATTCAATAATTACTGAGATAGTCTAGAGATAAGCTGTTGATAATGATGAAATAACCAAAGGAAAACCCTTTTATGAAGCAAAAACTTAAAGAAATTAATACAGAATTGAATAAGGATGAAATTGAGAGTTTCAAAACCAAAATATCGAAGGTGTTAAAGGAGACACAATAAAATTCTATAAATCTTTATGACCTGACGTCTTAATCTCTATAAAAGCTAAAAACAAAACGCCCCGTCCTCATAAAACTTCCATTACCTGTCCACACTCCACAGAGCGACACTCCCGACAATAAAATGAAATTTGCATAGTAATAATCGGTCATTAAAACCGGACAAATCTAAATCCGACAACCTACTAAACACCATCATTAAAATCCATGTAAACAGCCTCAACGACTGGCAAAATGATATCCGGACCCGCTGCGTTGTAAAAGTAACACCCTCTCTTGTCGGTGTATAGGAGCCATTTGAATGGGGATAATCGTAATGATGTTTATGGTCGTAAAGTTGGCTCGTAAAATGGCGGAGGCCCCATCATCTGCTCAGGGTTTTATTTGATGCCGGAGCCGCAGCAATCTGAGGTTATACAAAGAATTAAATTGTTTTAAGAGGTTTGAGACAACAACAACTTGATAGTTTCAAAAAAAAAAAAACTTTGTTTATTCCAAGGCGGCTTTAAATAAAACTCTGTTCTGTTTCATTCTTATCCATGGGTATAAATCAAGGTAGAATAGCGTGTCAGGATCTACTTAGGTGAGGCCTATTTCCCGCCTTTTTCCTGATAAGATTACGTTTTCAAGTGGATCGTTAGTTTTCTTAAAGGTGATTGATATACGGATGTTTTGTTCGAGTTTTTTTTTGTTTGTTCGTATAAAGAATAAATTTTGCCAAAACTTTGTAGTTTTTTATATTTTATGTAATACTTGAATACTGAAAGCTTGCCTAATACCCAAAAACAAAATTAAATCAAACCAAAAATGCAAAAAATTATATTTCAATTAAATTTATTTAACTTATTTGGCAAAAAAATAATAACAAAACATTTTTAATAATAATAATAATATATAAAATGGCTAGACGCACTTTTTCATGCAAGGAAAAACATATTTAACAAAACAAAAATATAAGTATAAGTTACGTATACATCGATAATATCAGAGATCCATTATCTAATTAATTTAAACTTACTAAAACATCATCACCAAACATAAATAATTTTTAAAATTTAAAGTACATTTATGTATTTATTAGTTTTTGAGGAGGTACCTTATTACACACGCACGTCCTTACATCAATATAATTTTTATTTTCAGGTTTAAATAATTTTTGTTTTTAAATTAAGTACAATTAGGTACAAATTGACTAAAGAAACATTACCAAATTTAGCTACCCTAGTTAAATATATTATATGGCTTTTGTGGTTTATTTTCAATAAACCATAATATGAGCAAATTGCACATCAGAAACTTGTAGTATCTTAAAAGTATTTTAAAATAATATTAATATTTACAAATTATAATTATCATAAGCCCACTCTTTATAATATACAATTATTATTATTAAATACCTACGGTATTTTGCAGCTAAATTTGGTAAAAATAACTTTAGAGGCTGATGATCACTTACCTTTTAAGTAAATGAACTCAGCCGTATCCCTTCATCATTATCACCAGGATGGACCAGGATTGGGGGGAATTAACTAATTTTGATCGACTTGTCCTGCTACCGCGGCCGCTTGCGCCGCCGCTTTTTGTGCTTGCGCCTGTTTTTCTTGCTCGTTTAGTTCTTTTATGGCCTGAAAAGAATAAAAAAATGTAGACATTATGGTATAATAGTTATTTACAAAAATACAATTAGAGCTATATAGGACATTTTTTTTATCTTTTCATCCCAGAACAAAAGCAACCAACCAACTACACCCTATAACTATTATTAAGCACTAATTTTGATAGGAAATCTGTGAATATGTTGTTATTTATCGATATTGATGTAATGTAGAATATAATAATATTAGTTTACGTCTTTTAGATCAGAACAAAAAACTAACCTTATCAGGATGGTGGACTAAAAGAACAGATTGGGGTCCTACGAACCACTAAACAAAATATCTTCATGATTGGAAATTTATGTAATGAAAACATGAAGAAATTTAGTTATCAGTGAAAAGACATTTTTTTTCTGAGTGCTTTTTTTCATAAAATCCGGCTCCTATTCTCAGAATAATTTAGTGTATGGAGTTTGAGTGGTTCCAAAGGACCATTAAGACACAAAATCTCAACAAAAAAGTATTAAATTTCATCGTTTCAGTACTGAGGTAGCTCCTTATGATTAAGATTTTGGAAAACATTGAAAGGTCATAACTTTTTTCCTATTATAGATAGAAAGCTGAAATTTCCAGCTATTCTTATCCCAGTAGAGGACTACAACCCCCAAAAATTTCAACTCATTTGGACTTTGGACTTATAGTTCCAGAAATAAAATCGTGTTAAGCAATTTGGGGTGATTCATCAAATTTTAAATTTTTCTAAGTGCCTTTTTTCATAGAATCCGGCTCCAAATCGTAGAATAATTTAGTGTATGGAGTTTGGGGGCTCCCAAAAGACCATTAAGACACAAAATCGCAAGAAAAAAAAAATTGAAATTTCATGGTTTCACTACCTTATGATTTATATTTTGTAAAAATTTGAAAGGTCATAATTTTTTTTTTATTATAGATAGAAAGCTGAAATTTCCAGCGATTCTTATCTTAGAAGAGGACTATAATCCCTAAAAATTTCAACTCATTTGTACTTGTAGTTGCAGAAATAAAATCGTGTTAAAAAAATTGGGGTGATTTATCAAATTTTAAATTTTTCTGAGTGTTTTTTTTTAAGAATCCGGCTCCAAATCTCAGAATAATTCAATGTACGGAGTCTGGGGGGTCCCAAAGGACCATTAAGATACAAACTCAACAACAACAAAAATTAAATTTTATCGTTATAGTACTGAGGTAACCTTATGATTGAAGTTTTGGAAAACTTTGGAAGATCATAACTCTTTTTCTATTATAGATAGAGAATTGAAATTTTCTGCGATCCTTACCCCAGTAAAGGACTACAGCTCATTTAGACTTATAGTTTCAGAAATAAAAACGTGTTAAGCAATTTGGGGTGATTCATCCATTTTTAAATTTTTCTGAATGCCTTTTTCATAGAATCGGGTTCCAAATCTCAGAATAATTTAGTGCCAGTGGTAAATCGCTGGGGAAGCTTTTGTACATGTCTTAAGAATTCCCGAAGAAGTTGAGGAAAGTTTCAAGAATACGAGGAAGTGGTAAGGATTTATGGGGGAAATTGAGGAAGTCTTGAGGAGTTCCTTGGGAAGTATGGGAAGTTGCGGGAAGTTTAGAGGAAGTTACTAAGGATGTCAGGAAGTTCAAAACGTATGCACATGCGCCTTGAGGAAGCGCATGCTCATACTTTGATATTGATATACGAGACCTTTGTTTTTCTAGATTAGATTTGTTATTTCTTGTCAAAAGTTGTTATTTTTTGTTAGTTACAGATTTGTTAGAAAACCTGAACAACGCAGGAGGAACAAGATTTCACCTAACCATCATATACAAGTTAACTATACCTTTCATTCAAAAAATCATGAAAACGGAAGACCGATTGAGTGATCTATGATTCAGAGTCTTTTGTTTGAGAATATGGAGGCAGTGGATACTAAACCAACAACATTTCACTTTGGCCAATAATTTCGTTTCCTCTAATGCCTATCAATGCATTGAGCTTAATGCACATGCAATTATCAACTTGATAATAGCATTTCGAGAAGATCCAGAATTGACAAGTGATATGTTTTGTCCATGGCTGTTCAGTAGGCAAACATGTGAACAAATTTTCAGAAGTACTTGTTCCATGACGTCAACGTATTCTACCATGGTCAATTTCAGTATCAAGGAGATTATAGACTGCTTAGATCGTATCCAGCTGATAAATAATGTCTATAATGAAATAAGAGACAAATTCACATTTCCACGAGAACTAAAGAAAACATCTACAGCCGAAAAACAAAAGAGCGAAAACCAAACAGAGCTTTCTCATTTTACTGATGATTATATTGTATCCATCGTGCAGACCTCTCTAAAATTCGCTCTCTCAATAACCAGTATACTTGACATGGAAGTGGAGAAAGATATTGGGTATGAAATACCTTGCCTGGCGAAAATTAAAAGTATAAATTTTCAGTCGAACGTCGATTTTACAACACTTGACCAATTTGAAACAAATGATAATGACTCTCAAATCGATGCAGAAAATATAATATTGGACGTGGGCGATGATCATGAAATACAAAAAGAAACAATTAGCAATGTCTCACACTTTAATAAGTTCCAAAAACAGTTTCAAAAACGGAAAATGTAGGTATGCTTATTTTTTTTAGATACATCAGTGAACTCACCAAAAGATTATGAATGAACTAAAAAACCTAAACTAAATCTGGAACTGCAAACATTCTACGATGTTTATTATGAAGAAAGATGGTATGTTGGAATAATAATGAAGAAGTTTGATTCCAATGAGTCCGGAAGCGATTCAAAAGTAGACATGAAATTTCTCAAACAGCAGAGAAAAAACCGAAACAATTTTCGATGGCCAACAGCTGATGATGTCGATATTAACGAAGCTAAATATATATTTTATGGTCCCTTAGCAATGTTTCCTGCAGGGAACAGTTCAGAAGGTACCTCTCAAGGAACCTCATCTTCTTTGAGAGAAAACCGTGTTTTTGTTATGGATGAAAATGTTTTTCAAAAGGTTGGAGAACCTTATCTAGCCATGGAAACGAAAAAATGTTCATCCAAAAATAACTTCAAAATGTATGTTCCTCTTACTAATTTATTTAACTTGTATTATAAGAATTTTGGAGTTGGTTTACTATTACTATTATTTAATTTGGAGAGATTTATTTTTGTTAGTTTTTTTTTTTTTTTTTGTTTTAAAATAAACGTGTATTGTTGATAGGTGAATTAGACGCCATATTTTTCATTTCATCCATATTCATACTTCAACATTCCCAACAAAAGAAGACGCCAAATTATGAAGCCAGTTACATTTTCTATAAAGACACTTTTGTCCGAGGAAGTCTGGGGAATTCTCGAGGAAGCTACCTTATGATTTAGATTCTGGAAAACTTTGAAAAGTCATAACTTTTTTTCTATTACAGATAGAGAGCTGAAATTTTCAGCGATTTTTATCCCAGTAGAGGACTACAATCCCTGAATGCAGCAATGATTCAAAACTTTCAGCTTGGATTGATTTGCTGATTCATCCAATTTGATGAGGGATGCAGAAAATTCAAGAAAATCGAAATCATCAATAGACTGTTTTATACAAAGTAGGTACCTATGGATTAAATCGCTAGTGAGGATATTTTTATCCCAGAATCAGCAATATTATTTCATATTTACCAATAATTTTCAGTGAGAGTGGAGAATTTGACATAGAAAGTCGAAAAAAAAAATTGAATTTCTGATAAGCAAATTCTCATCTGAACATCGATTTTAATAAGAATCATCTAATCTAATCTGGGAGATTGACCATCAGCATGGAAAACATAAATTGAGTTTTTGATGTCGTTATACTTATATTATCTCATAGTTATATTTACTTGGAATTTTCAAAAGCTTGTCATGAGAAATCTGAGAAATTAGGCTTCGGTAGAGATGAAGAAAAATCAATTTAGTTTTTAATGATGATACTATATTCTCCAGGGTAAGATTTAGGTACTTAAAATCTTCAAAATTAGGTAGGTATGTGGTAAGATTGGAGAATCTGAGAATAAAAAATAAATAAATTGTTTCTAATGACGATACTGTATTATCCAGAGGCAAATTTACAGGACATCATAAAAATTAACAACAACCATAACTCCAGAACAACTCAACAATAACGACAACTTAACAACAACAACAACAACAACAACAACAACAACAACAACAACAACAACAACAACAACAACGACAACAGCAACAACAACAACAACAACAACTCAACAATACTTCCAAGACATCTCAACAACAAGAACAACAAAATGGAAGATACAGGTGAATATTCGATTAAAATTGTTAGGGTTTGTCAGGAAATTATAGCTTTTTCTGGAAAAGCCTGGAATGACTTTTTTATGAAGATAATATAATCAGGTAATATTTTTTGTTGAGAATAGAGCGTTTAGGGGTTTTAGTCTTGGCAAAGTATGATAAAAGATGAAATGACGAAACACTGATAAAGAGCAATTAAAGAGAATAAAAACTTTGGCTCCAACAACGTCATGTGTATATAAAAAAACTGGATGGATCGGAAAAAGTGGACAAAAGCAAAATTCCAGTGTAAAGTTAGAAATCAATAACCAGCGAATAATAGAAAATATATCAAATAAATCCCAGATATGAATTTGAGATCGAGAAGGCAAATACTGACGTGAACCAAAATAAATAATTAAAAGAGGAGTGACTGCTAGATTGCTGGAAGAACTTGCTATTCCCTACTTGAAAACTCCAGTTTCTCATCAATGTGCATTGGTAAAGTCCACCACACGGAAGATCCAGGAAGCCGTCTGAAGGGAGAGAGGAAGCAAGTGTAACAGAAACTTATAGCGACAGAATTTATGAACTTAGCAAACTCACTAAAACGATCAAGAAATACTAAATAGCCTGTTGATTAGACAAAGACGCGGGCGGTCGTATTCTTTCGCTCCTTTATTTTCCGTGTGGCGGATTTTATGATTTGAAAATTTACAAAGAACAATGTCGATGAATCATCTGAGACTCAAAGGGCAAGAAGAACAGATGCCTCCAATTGCAGGAAGCCATCCAAACCTTATGTCATGAAAACTGCGTAGAATCGAGGTAAACCTCCCGCAAACAAAAATGGTGAAATGCAAACCTCGATATGCTCAGGAAAAATACACGAAAGCTTTTTGATAAAGTAAAGAAAACCGGAAACTGGGGAGCATATCAGCAAACCCTAACGGAATACAACAAAGAAATCCGGAAAGTAAAAATAGAATCCTCGAAGAAGTTCTGCAACGAAGTTGAAAACACTTCCGAAAAAGCCCGTTTCAAGAAAATTCTAGCTAAGAGTCCGATAGAATCGACAAGAACTTCACAAAAAATGGGGAAGAAACTTTAAGTTTACTTCTTCAAACTCATTTTCCAGACTCCACCTAAGTGAACCCTGATAGCAGAAACCCATCAAGCCGTTCCGCTTTCTGTTGACAAGAGTAGAGAACTCACTAGAAAACCAGGAAATCGCACTAGTGGCATTCCTTGATATATATAGAAGGAGCCTTTTGACCACTCCTCCTTTAACTCCATAGTCAGAGCTGCTGGGCAACATGCGATTAATGATACCACATGCAGATGGATCAAATTCATGCTAAAGCGTAGGACTATAAACTCGACTATTGCTGAAACCTCCATTAAAGTAACAGCGACCAAAGGATGCCCATAGGGCGGAGTAATTTCACCACTCTTGTGGAATCTAGTCATGGATGAACTTCTGAAAAAACTAAACGATCAAGGCCACTTCACCCTAGGCTACGCGGATGACATAGTCGTTATCATTAGCGGAGGATTTTTCAGGATGATATCAAACCTCATACAGGACGCCTTATAGGAATGGTGCACGAGGGAGCCACTTCGCGTCAACCTCCCTAAACAAAACTCATTCCTTTCACGAGAAAAAGAAATCTGAAGTACTAAAGGGGCGATTCCTAGTCTATTCCAAAAAACCTTGGAGTTTGGCAGCGAAGCTAAATTTCTAGGCGTCATCCTAGATATGAAGCTGACATGGAACCAACACATCCAAAAAATATCCACCAAAAACAAGATGACGTAGATGCCACCAAAAACATGGGGACTGAAACCGTCAGTTGTACACTGGATAATCACTACGGTTGTAAGACCAATGATAACATATGGTGCACTTGTATGGTGACCTAAAGTAAACCAAAGACAAGCAAACCTGGAGCTAGCCAAAATCCAGAGACTTGTATGTCTTTGTATCAACGGTGCACAGAAAATCACACCAACGCCAAGTATGGAAATCATCCTAAACCTCCCACCAATTGGCCCTATCGCCAAAGCGGAGGTTAGAATCGGGGCAAATCATCTCCAGCTGAACGAAACCTGGAACCCAAAACCAAATAGACATGCAGCAATCATCAAAATAATCACAAACCCAATTTTAACTATGGGTAGCGACTATGTGATGCCGAAAATTACTCATTTACCCATATGCAGGAGGATGAAACGGCCACCCACATAAGCTTTACGCTGGTGGAGATACAGATAGATAGGGCCAGAAGACCCTATTTCTAAGCTCACCAAAAGTAACACGGTGAAGAGGCTCCTAAACTCAATCAAGGTCACGAAACTTTTCACTGAGTAACCAGACGGACAGACGGTCCTGGCCTATTCACTCTGCATCTCAACCAACTAACCAACCAAGAATCAAAAGGATGAACATAAGATTTTCCAAAAAGAGAAATATTATGATAAGAGCGACAACTAAGTTGAAGGACGTAGCATCAAAATTAACTCATCTAAAATGAAGCATCGACTGGACATCTCACAAGACACAAAAACCACAGATGAAACATAAAACTAATACAATAGGAATACTGGGGTCACAGATCAGGAGCCGGATCGACGACCTCAAACTCATCGCAGAATTACACTGAAAAAATGTGGTTCAAAATGAAAATCGCTATTGGGGATTTGTTCAAAGCTTTATGATAAAAGGCTACAGAAGAAGAAAGCATTAGGAATTCAGGAGATACCATGCGGATGAAAATCTAGAACTCTGCAATGCGTTTGTCGTTTTTGGACATGGACCCTTTTTCATGACACTGGACATTGTCCCATTTCAACAAATTCAAGCAGAATCTGAATAATCCTCAACCAAAATAATCATATAATCCTTACCTGTATTTCTTTTTTAAGTTTCATCCGCCTGTTTTGGAACCATATTTTTATCTGTCGTTCCGTCAGGCAAAGGGCGTGCGCCATCTCTATCCTCCTCCGCCTGGTCAAATAGTGGTTCGTGTGGAACTCCTTTTCTAGCTCGAGCGTTTGGTACCTCGTATACGTTTGACGACCCCGCCTTCTTAGACCATTTGCACCTAGAACAGAAAATAGATTATTTTAGCATTATCGCTTTCAAAAATTGATGATTTACAGATCATAATAACTATACAATTTTCACATACGAAAAATTGAGAACCATAAACAAGCGAACCGTTTTAATATTAGCCTTCCTGGAGTCCCGATAAAGCGCGATATCAGATAAACTCCGACTCTCAGAGCGAAAAATCACCACAGAGGCTCCATAAAGCATCTTCGGTTTCAATTCTTTGTTTTTTTCTTTTTTAGGGGTCTTCTTCTCTTATTAAACTGAGGCCGCAGCGCAAGTTCAATCGCGCCAAGCGAGAGACCACACATTGCGATAACAATTAACAGGAATTCCATATCGATTTGTAATTTTGGACTGCGTTCTTTAATTACTAGCTTTTGTTACTGCGGCTGTATCAACTCAATGCAAAGATTTATTACTACTTTGACTTTATCAGTATTAAATGCTAGATTTTCAATTCCTTCAAGGTTTGTTATAATACATGTAGGACAAATTTGAATAAAATAAGAACCAAGACAGAATAAGATTTGCTTCAATCTCACTGAAAATGATACCTTCATGGTAAGGTTTACCAGTACTCGAATCAGCTCTCAAAACCTTACTTTAATTATAACATAAAATTGAATAATTAATAAAAGTGTATAAATAAAATCGTATTAGAGCCCATAAAAATAAATTGTATCACTGGAAACTGCAAGTTCTCCATAAATTGATAATAATATTGGATTTATAGCCCTATTATTGTAAAAACAAAACAAATTTGAGGGTTTGTTGCCCATGAATTTTGTTACAATAACGTAATAACGTTGGGGCCAATGATGAAATATTGTTTTAGCCTGTAGCGTTTTATATTTTTTGATTTACATACAAAATGAGGTTTAATTGTTGTTTTCAAAAGTTGTTTAAATATTTGAGAAAATATTATATCAAGAACGTAGTCATTCAAAGCTTATAACAATTTAAAACCGATTTAATCTTAATAATAATTATTTTTGTACGTGTTGCAAACCACCCACTTATAATCTTTGACTTGTCATTAATTATAAGGGTATAATTTCAAGAATATAAAGTATAAAGAAAAATATGATACAGTATATATAAGGTACAAAATGGCAGACAGAATTTATTCTTGATACATATGGTGTAAGTATATAAGAAATAAAAATAGAATCTTACCAAAAACCTAGAGAAATCACAAGAGAGAAGCCTAAAAAAAAATGTGTCACAACCGGCACTCAAACCAAAACTGAAAACTGTGGCAGAAAGATATCTTAGAAATGGCCGTTGGACAGGCATCTTTTTCAAAGCTGAAGGAAGCCACATGATTGGTGTTCGGGTTTTGACTTCCCGCTGTGGAATTCCGAGCCCAGGCTCTTTTGACAGAGATAAAGGTCTTTATATCTAGGAGGCTTGGGCTGCACCGGTCAGGTAGGAGACCCAGTGTGTGTTTTTACGTCACGGTCGGTCACCAGGTACGGATTAAAATTAAATCCACAATAATTTTTCAAGTTATTTGATTTGTTAGGAGAGCAAACTATTATAGATTTATTGAACTGAATTCCAAAGTAACATTATTTCAGAGAGGTTCTATGTCATATTACTTTATGTGTATTTTGTCTCTATGTTCCATCGCCTCTATCTCCTTTACCTATATGTATATATTTTGAGCTGATTTTTAATTTAAAATAAACTGCAACTCGCTAGCTTGAATCGTTTAAAAGTTATGACCATTTTGAAACGAGTGAAGACTGAAATCTTATGTTTGCCATTAGAGAACTTTCAAGCCTTGTACTTCAAACGATAGAAGCAAATTCCAGATAATTTCTTGACGTATATTGATGTATTTTGAGCTGATTTTTAATTTAAAATAAACCGCAACTCGCTAGTTTGAATCGTTCAAAAGTTATGACCATTTTAAGACGAGTGAAGACTAAAATCCTATGTTTACCATTAGAGAACTCTCAAGCCTTGTACTTCAAACCATACAAGCAAATACCAAACAATTTCTTGACGTATATTGATGTATTTTGAGCTGATTTTTAATTTGAAATAAACTGCCACTCGCTAGCTTAAATCGTTCAAAAGCTATGACCATTTTAAAACGAGTGAAGACTGAAATCTTATGTTTGCCATTAGAGAAATCTCAAGCCTTGTACTTCAAACGATAGAAGCAAATTCCAAACAATTTCTTGACGTATATTGATATATTTTGAGCTGATTTTCAATTTAAAATAAACCGCCACTCGCTATCTTGAATCGTTCAAAAGTTATGACCATTTTATACAAGTGAAGACTGAAATCCTATGTTTGCCATTAGAGAAATCTCAAGCCTTGTACTTCAAACGATAGAAGCAAATTCCAAACAATTTTTTGACGTATTTTGATGTATTTTGAGCTGATTTTTAATTTGGTGGTCGAAAATACCGTCCTAGGTCGCAACCACCAACATTTTTTTTTACAAAAACCGGTCTGTGCTAATGGAACCAAAAATATTATTTCATGTCCCTATAATATCAAGTACAGCCCCAATATTCGCACTTTTGTTTGATTTTTTTCGCCTTCAAGTAATGCAATATTGCAGTGTAAATTTGAAAACCGGTCAATGTTATGTCACTTTACGTACTTGTATTTATCACCGGCTTTTGATAATGAATATGGATGAACGGAGGAAGTCCTACCATGGGAAATCGGTCTGTCAAGACTTTGAATTTGCAATTTTATTGATAATCGACACTCATGCACTCTTGATTTCAGTTTCCATCAAAGTCCCAACAAGTTTTACCACTAAGAGATAGAATCAAGTGCATATCAACAATCAAAAGATTCATGAATCACTATTTGAATTCACGCGTGATCTTAGAGCATGTAAGTATATCCAAGACTCAGTTTACTCACTTCTTTATACTTATTCATGCAATGGAAAGCGAACCGAATGTTTCATTTGAGGTTATTCATTCAGAAACGATAGCCGAACTTATATAGGATTCTTCACTTGGTCTATATGCAGGCTCACAGTGAAGAATTCCAGACAACTTCTCAACTATAGAGTCTCATAAAAATACAATTTCGAGCTTGAAAACTCACGGTATCATTGTCTTAATGAAAACAAACCCTCCCATCATCCAACATACTGAGGGCGCGGGGGTGTTATACTGCGCCACACCATAAATTAGCAGTGCGAAATAGCCATGGTCTCGCGCCTAGTTAACGAGGTACAAGTGATCCCTCGAATTTATGTACGAAATTTGCAAATAAATTGAACGCCGCGCTACCTAACTAAATTGCTCTATAAACAAATAGGTTTGGCCCGCCGCACCAAGCAAGATCGAGTACCGACAGATTCACCATTTAAAATATACAGGGGCAATGATGAGAATTACGTTTTGGGATTTTCAGAGGGTCCAGAAACGAAGATTTGTCATTGTACAGTTGGTAAAATTTATTTGTTCAATTAGTATGACATTAAAAGCCCACTTGAAAATTAAAAGCCGTCATTATTCAAACGACATTGCACATAGCTACAAAATTAAGTTATCAACTTGGTTCGCGGCCTTTGTCCATCATACAACAATAGATCATTCCAGCAACCAGAAGGAAACAATAAATCTCTATGAGACTTAGGCTATTTGCAAACATGTGTGTATGTATATTGATTTACTGGAGTCGTATAATATCTCTGCAACATATTTAAACTGCTATAAATATTCGAGACACTTTGCCCCGTGGAAATAATAAAACTATGCCACAGTTGACATTACGCTTAAACTTATTTTCCTTCTCGTTTCGTGTTCGCCCTTTTGATATTAAAGACGATATTTGTGTAGGAATTTAAATGTCATATTCAAAAGGGCTAAACTGTTTTATATAGGATACAAATTCTATAGTCTACAATGTGTTTTATATAGATTATTCATTAATCAAATATAAAAATGCAATAATCCTTAGAAGCCCTACGCAAAAAAAATAAGGCTCCTTAAAGCAGCTTCAGGAAAAAACGTGAGTAGATCATGATAGAATACCTATAAAACTCTTCCGAAACTGAAAGATCTTGGGAGTCGAGTCTCAACCTGTTGAAATTATCCACTGATACCCTTATTCGAAGGGCTTGCTGCTCTAGGTACTCTAGCAGGAGGTGCATCTGCAATAGCAAAATCTGTTAAAAAAGCCTGAAATGCACGACAAAGTTCATAAGTGACACAACTTTTAAAGTAAATCTATTTTTACAAGTTCGTTCAAGTTGGCCCTTTTTTATTTTATTCAGATTGCAAAATGTAAGGATGTTTGTTTATTAGAGAGCTTGTTGAATCTGCACTACGGCAATAGGGATAGAAAACTTGAAAAATCACTTGTACTTGACTGTCCTAAAATTTTAGGATGTATCCGGATAGAAGGCGATAGTAGAATCCTTCAAACACAAAGGATGAGATTACGAGTTTGAACGAATGCCATTTGGATTTGAAAATGCCCCTGCAACATTCCAAAGAGCTATGGACTACAGAATAAAATAAGCTTGGTGTATGGACGATATAATTATATTTTTCACTTCATTACAAGAACATGTAAAGAATTTGAAAAGAGTATTCGAAAGATTGAAGGTGCTTGAGAGGGCAGGCCAGAAGAAAAACGAACAGTTCAGTTGCGCGAAAATCTAATGCACTGGAACGCCTATAAACAGCCCCGAGCGCTCTAGAGCAACTCAGGAACTCAACGAAAGGATGTTTGTTGATTAGAGAGCTTGTTGAATCTGCACTTAGGTAACAAGGATAGAAAACTTGAAAAGTCACTTGTCGAGAGAGCCTAGGAGTCGAGTCATAATCTGATGAAATTATCCACTAATACTTTTATTCGCAGGGCTTGGTGCTCTAGGTACTCTAACGGGAGGTGTATCTGCAATAGCAAAAACTGTTAGAGAAGCCTGAAATGCACGACAAAGTTCATAGGTGACACAACTTGTCAAGTAAATTTATTATTACAAAGTCGTTCAAGTGG